TTCTGTACGAATATTCTGATTGGATTTGGTCTGATGTGTTTGGTTTTGGATTCTGAGAGTTTAGATTGGTGGTTTGTTGCTTTGCTGAGCTGTTGAGCTCACTCTTGTTTTCTGGTGGTTTTCAGGTTCTGGGAAAGGGAAGGAAGTCCAGGACTAGAGTTCAGAGTTCTGATCCGTATAGGTATACTTTTGATTTTTGTACAGTCATGGCTTTTCTGTTCTGTCTTTCTTTCCGTTTAAAAGCCATGTACTGTATTTGTAGATGATTATTTTGAGGAAATGAAAAGATAGATGTTTTGTTCCGCTGTGTTCGATGATTTATAGTAGCTCTGTTGTTCTGTGTTTGTGTGTCTGTTGAGTTTAAGTATTTGGAAGATCAGTTCAGTAACCAAATTCCAAAGCCAGATCCTGGATAAGAAGGGTTTGGTCGCGATCCAGCTCGGGCGGGATCCGTCCCCGTCGGGTCGGGTCGTGACAGCTGGGCTCTCAATAGGTGTTCCCTCAACTCTCCCAACACCTTATCCCTCTCCTCCAAGTATTGATCCACCAGATATACCGTGGTTGCTCCCTTCTGATAATTCACCAATGGTGGTGGATCCCTTCCATAAAGAATCCTGAAAGGTGTGAACTGAGATGCGGTATGGTAGCAAGTGTTGTACCAATATTTTGCCCATGGTAGCCATTTGACCCACTGCTTCGGTCTCTCCCCAACAAAGCATCTCAAGTAAGTCTCCACGCTCCGGTTCACCACCTCGGACCGTCCGTCTGTCTGCGGGTGGTATGCTGTACTACGCTTTAAGACTGTACCTTGCATCTTGAAGATCTCCTTCCAAAAAGAGCACAAGAATACTTTGTCTCGATCTGAGACAATAGATGCGGGGACCCCATGCAGTCGCACCACCTCTCTGATGAACGTCGAGGCTACAGTAGGAGCAGAGAATGGGTGTCGTAGTGGAATGAAATGGCTATACTTGCTTAACCGATCCACTACCACCATGATGACTGTATACCCATCAGACTTGGGTAATCCCTCAATGAAATCTATGGTGACTTCCTCCCAAATCTTATTTGGCAGCACTAATGGCTGCAACAAACCACTAGGGGCACAAGCTTGATATTTGTTCCGCTGACAAATATCGCATTTACTCACCATGTCTTCGACATCCCTTCTTAGCCCTTTCCAAAAAAATTCGGCCTTCACCCGCCGATAGGTCTTTTCCACCCCTGAATGCCCACCAATACTGCTATCGTGGTACTCCCGTAGAAGAATGGGGATGAATGCTGATTCACGGTGTAGTACCAACCTCCATTTGTATAGTAATAGGGAGTTCTCCAGGTGATATCCCTTGACCCCTCCTTCTCCCTTCTGGATAGTCGCCCGAATCCCCTCTAGCTCTTCCGCCTGTTGATTTTCCTTTACCAATTCTCCCCAGTCTACCCATTGGGGTACAGATAGGGCCAGAAGTTGTGAACAATTCACACGGGAAAGAGCATCTGCCGCCTTATTTTGAACCCCTGGTTTATACTGAATCTCAAACTCATACCCCAAGAGTTTGGCTAGCCACCTCTGGTGTTCTTCTGCCACCAATCGCTGCTCTAGAAAGTACTTGAGACTCCGCTGATCAGTACGAACTATGAATCGTTGCCCCAACAGATAAGGCCGCCATTTTTGAATAGCCAACACAATGGCCATCAGCTCCCGCTCATAAACTGACTTCAGCCGCGCTCTAGCTGATAAGATCCGGCTGAAGAAGGCAATCGGCCGATGATTCTGCATGAGTACTGCTCCCAAACCCACTCTTGAAGCGTCAGTTTCAACCACAAACTGTTGGGTGAAATCAGGAAGTGCCAAAACTGGAGCACTAGTCATGGCTTCCTTCAGATTCTTCATGGCTCCCTCTGCCTTCTCTCCCCACTGAAAGTTGTCCTTCTTCAACTGATCGGTCAAAGGACTTGCTATGGAACCATAGCCTTTGATGAATCTCCTGTAGTATCCCGTTAGTCCCAAGAATCCCCGTAGTCCTTTAAGGGATTTTGGTGTAGGCCAATTCACCATGGCCTCTATCTTGGTGGGGTCAGCTGCCACCCCATCATTTGAAATGATGTGCCCCAGATACTCCACCTCCTTCTGAGCGAACGAACACTTCTTATGGTTGGCATATAGCTGATGCTCCAATAATGTCGAGAGTACCACTCCAAGATGGTGGAGATGGTCCTGCAGAGATTTGTTATACACCAATATGTCATCAAAAAAGACCAAAACAAACCTCCTCAAGTATGGCTGGAAGACCTGATTCATCAGGGCTTGGAAAGTGGAGGGAGCGTTAGTGAGCCCGAAAGGCATTACTAAAAACTCATAATGGCCTTCGTGTGTCCGGAAGGCTGTCTTCTGAATGTCTTCAGCCCTCATCCGAATCTGGTGATAACCTGACTTCAAGTCCACCTTGGAGAAGATGGTCGCTCCCCCAAGCTCATCCAAAAGCTCATCTACCACCGGGATAGGGAACTTATCCAACACAGTCTCCTTATTGAGGGCCCGATAATCGACACAGAATCGCCAACTACCGTCTTTCTTCTTCACTAAGAGTACAGGGCTAGAAAATGGGCTCACACTGGGCTGGATCACCTGTGCCTCCAACATCTCTGTTACCAGCCTCTCAATCTCCTCCTTCTGAGCATGAGGATATCTGTAAGGCTGCACGCTGATGGGTGCTACCCCGGTTTTCAACACAATAGCATGTTCCCTGGTTCTGACGGGTGGTAAACCCTGGGGCATCTGAAACACTGTGGAGTGCTGCTGTAAAAGTTCCTGGATCTCCTCAGGAATGACTTCTGGCTCTCTTTCGGCCTCCGTGCCTACTTGCTGTAACTCGATCAAGTAGCCCTCCCCTTCATCTCTCAAAGTTTTGAAAATGGACTTCAAGGCCACTCTTGCTCTGCATAAACTGGGGTCTCCCTGTAATGTCACTTTCCGGCCCCCCTGCCCATACTCCATGTATAACTTCTTCCAATTCACCTTCATCTCGCCCAAGGACTGGAGCCACTGCATCCCCAGTATCACGTCAGTGCTCCCCAAGTCCAATAGTAAGAAATCTTGCTCTGTCTTCTCTCCTTGCAATGTGAGGGTCACTCCCTTACAATGCCCTTTGCAGCGCTCCTTCTTCCCCGTGCCCAAAATGACTCCTACGCCTCTCCCTTGGGTCACCGGTAGACCCACCTTCTCCACGAATCTGCAAGCGATGAAGTTGTGGGTGGCCCCACTATCAATTAGAACCATCACCTTGTACCCTGCTATCTCCCCTTCCAGTTTCATGGTGGAATGCGATGTCAGTCCTGCTATAGAGTTGAGGGAAATCTCCACCATAGCCAAATGAGGGTGCTCTCCCTCCTCTCCATCCTCCTTAGCCGCTCCTTCGTTCTCTTCCTCCTCAGAATCTCCTACGATGATTACATGTAGCGTCCGCTCCTTACACCTATGCCCAAGTGTAAACTTCTCATCACAGCGGTAGCAAAGGCCCTTGGCCCTTTTTTCCTTCAACTCTGAATCAGTCAATCTTTTGAACCCCCCTAGATTTACTGCTGTAGTGGTCCTCTCCTTGGCTACCTCCTTATGAGGAAGGATGATAGTCGCCTTTGGGCCTCCACTCATGAATGGTGCTCGGTAAGTGGGGTAAGACACCCCTGATCTCCTCAGTGGCTCCACCTTTAGCTTGTCCTCTACCAACTGTGCAGTCTCCATGATTTTCACTAAACCATGGGGATCAACTACTCTGATGGCTGCCCTGATGTGGGGCTTCAATCCCTTCATGAAATTCCCCTCCAGAAGGTCATCAGTAATTCCTCTCAATCGGCTGGAAAGCAGCTCAAAGTGCTTCCTATACTCTGCCACTGTGCCCTCCTGTACTAGAGCCACGAACTGCTCATAGTGTGTGCCCTCGCTAGACATCCGGAACCTATGAAGTAGGAGGTCTTTGAACTCCTCCCAGCTCCTCACATGTTGTCTTCCTTCAAGCCATTGGAACCAGGCCAATGCTTTCCCTTCCAAACAAACTGGAACCGCCATCAATTTCTCCTCTTCTGTGACGCCATTCACTGCGAAATAGCGCTCCACCCTGTAGATCCACCCATAAGCATCTTCTCCTTCAAAGATAGGAATCTTCAATTTCCTCGTGCGGTTATCGGCTCGGTTGAAGGTTCTTCCATCTCCCCATGTCCCCTGAGTGAATCCCTCTCCTGTTGGTCTTCCCCTCCTCTCTCCATGGTAGGTATTATGAGTTCCTCCCCATGGTGGTTCTCTTAGCTCCCCGTATCCCATACCGTAGTCTTCCCTTCTACCTCCATAGCCTCCTCCAGTGTGCGTCGTGGGTCCCCCTTGCTCCCACGGGGCACGATTCCCTTCCGGAAAACCCCCCATCTGAGTTGGCCACCCCTCTCGTATGCCATGGGGCCCTGCCGAGCCCATGTATGGTCGGCCCCCTTGACCACCGGCCATCCCCCAAAAACCGCCCACCCCAGACCCTTCTCCCCCTTCCTTCGACCATTGGCCCTGCACGCCTCCCTCACCTTGGATTCCTCCTTCTTCCCTAATTTGAAAATTAGGGTTAGGGTTAGAGTTCGGCACCGGCGATTTCCCTTTTTCCTTCGGATTTGATTGCACAACTTGGGCTTCTACCAATTTCCGGATCATCTCTTCCATACCCCCAAATCTTTCTTCTAGGTTTGAAAATTTTTCCTCCAACGACGAAAGTTTCTCGCCTACCTCCTCTTTCAATTGGCTCATCTCCCCCTCCAAGACTTCTACCTTCTTTGATGCCATGCCGTCTAGGATCAAAAGCTCTGATACCAAATTGATACGCCCTAGGGTTTCTCAATAGATATTCGTCTTCAATGATAAGAACTTCTCCACCAAATCAAGACAAACACAATCTCAAAAGTAATGGAAAAAAGAACAAAGCCTTTTGCATTAAAATCAAAGCAAATAACAAGATAAGTTTGTCCACTTCGAGAAGGACAAGGTCTCCCACTACAAACCCTAGGAACTAGTAAACAAGAAGAAGCAAAAAACTATTTTCAGCATACCCCTCAATGAACCCTAAAGACTCCTCTTAATACTTTCCCAAAACCCTCACATCCCTACATTACCCTTTGCAAATCCACCCTACATCTCCCCATGAAGCTTGCGCCCCATCCATTGTGGCCCTTAGATCAAAATAGGTGGGCCCAAGGCCCCCCCTTGGCTATCGGTTGAAGGAGCTGGCGGAGGAGGCGGAACCCGCCTCCTGTAGACCCGTGAGGGTCTATTTGGATGGACCGGTTCAGGGTGAACCGGTCCATCAGTGCCATTATGATTTATTTTCAGTATTAGTTCCTGTAAGGTGATTGATAAAATTTACTCTATTATTTCAATTCATATGTAATCTTCATCACATCTTGCCATGTGTGCACTACATTTACAAAAGGTGAGTGATAAAATTTTGAGCAAAATCAATTAAAGAGGAGAGAACAGACACAACAAAGACCAATAATACTAGGCACAAGTTTATGTAATTCGTGGAGTTCCACCTGTGTACATGTTACACAGATGTTAAATATTCCTCGAAGGTTCAAAAGAGAGAAGATTACAGTTGATATAAATATTGAAAAAATGTCATTTTATTTTTGTTAATGAGTGACGATAGTCACTTCTTTAATTTTTTGTAGAGTCTCTCCCTGCTATGGTTTAAGGGTTCGCCTCCTCTCCCCTCTCGCCTCTCCTTTCCTCTTCCCTCTATTTTCTTGTGGTTGTATGATGCATACAACAATTGATTTCTTCCTCTTTCGTAGTTGCAAAATGAGAATGTATCATGGTAGATATGATTGATTAAATGTGAATGGAGCTTGAATTTGGTTGCCAACATCTTGGAAAACCAGTGAATGGAGCTTGAGTTGGTAGCTATCAATCTAGAAAATGAAAATAGAATCTTATCCAAGATAGTTGAGGGAATCTAGATGCCCCGCCTAACAATTTACAATAAATTTTTGGCATATCCTCATTTTAAAATGTAATGGAGACCATGATAACGTTGTTGCATTCATATTGTAACTTTGAATTTTGTTTTGTAGCCACTTTATTATGGTCTTAATATTACTTTTTCTTTTTCACATTATTCTACTGCCTACCAAATTAATTTTCTAGGCGCTCTCAAGTTTGACATTCTCCATACTAAAGGCATTTAAAAGAAATAACTTCTAAAAAAAAGAAAAAGTAATATAATAGAAAAAAACTTTATAAATTGACGAATGCATGAAAGTAAATAAAAATTTTCTTTGATAAAGAAACTATTTGATGGTTTTTTTTATGCTTTAGTTAGAAAGCATCAGGCTAATTCTCATGCTACAAAAGGGTGGGAACCATTTACTGATGCTGTTATTCGAACAATATCAGAGAAGAAAAGAGGCATTGTTTTTATTCTCTGGGGTAATTCAGCTCAAGAGAAGTCCAAGTAAGTTCTCTGAATTGTTTTCTTTTACTCATACTCCCTTAGGCTTGTTAACTCAACTGTTCATCTTTTTCCTACTTTTGAACTATCAAAAGGCAATGCTGAAGGATATTTGATGCTCGTATTGAGTTCTCTGTCAGCACAATAATTTGATTCTGGCTAAATGAAGCTTCATAGTTCATGTAAATCTGTTAAATTTTCCATTTAAAACTTATTTTCTGAAAGATGCCTATCTTTTTTGTATGCAGACTGATAGATCCTACGAAGCACCATATCCTTAAAGCAGCCCATCCGTCGGGCCTTTCTGCTAATAGAGGCTTTTTTGGATGCAGGTTTGTCTTCGGTGTCTATTCTTAGAATACTACTTGGTTCCATTCTTCTGTATCTTGGAATCCTAGCTTTTTCATGGATATAAATCCGCTAGAAAGGGTTATGAACTTTCTGACAAGGTAAAAATTTTCAATGGTTAAAAATAGCTAAATCAGCTGGAAAAGGTAATCATATGGCTTTTATTTTAAATCCACTAATATTTCCCATTTAATTGACAAATTTTCTAGTTATTACATGAAATGAAGAAGAGATCAATATCTAAATTAATCATAAAGTTGCTGTTTTGGTGCAGGTCAATAAAAATTATTTTTATTGCATTCTCACTTGGTATGCGTGCACAAATTACTTTAGGAGTGCTTTCATCTGCTTGCATATGTGATTTGAATTTTGTTTTTCTATTTACGTATATGCCTTATAATTCAAGGTTTTTTATGTAATTTTCACTTAACTTGGATGTATTAAATATTAATAGACCGCTCAACTTATAATCCTTGCTAAAGTACCATCATGATATGAGAGCTTCTTGTTATATTTAATTAATCATTACAAAAGAACACTGCCATCACTTATCTCTGTTTTTTTAAAAAGTGAACAACAATGCAGCTATTACAATGTTGGATGACTTCTTATAATGTCGAATAGTGTGACGGGATACGAAACAACATGGAATGGGACAATGCAAGTTAAAAAATATATACTGGACTATCATAGATCTCATTGATAAGTCTTGAAATCAAATGTGATACTTGTTTAATGATGTGTTAAGAGATGTTAATGCAGATGCCAAAACGTGAAACTCCTCTTCATGCAAGAGAGCACAAATTTCCAAGTGATAAGGCCTTGAATTGTTCCTTGTACACACACTTGATTGAAGAAAAGAGAAAGACGTGAAGTTAAATGAAGGGATAGGAAAGCTCCTTTTTGAGCTTGTTGATTTGAATTTGGCTCCCACAGTCAATTTAGTGTGAAGGCAGAGTTTTGCTTTGAGCAAAGAATGTATTATATAAATATAAAAATAAATGAATAAATAAATATGTATAGTGATGTATATATTTTTATATTTTAAAATTCTATGAACTTCTTGGTATTTAAATTTGGATTTTCTCTTGATTTGGGTAAAATTTTATGTGATCGGTAAAGAGAAGTTTGAAATAAAATTATTAATGTGTGATATCGTGAAGATTGCATGTAATGTATATGGGATGATTTGGGAAGATATTGCAGAGGTTGGTTGAATATGATTTGGTTTAGGTTTTAGGAAAACGTTTTGGAAGAAATTTTTAGGATTATTTGATATCACATTAATTTAGGTGGTAATTTAGCATGCAAACTTCCAAAGGAGGTAATGCATTAAGAGATGGAGTATTGGGCATGAGTTTCTATTGTTTTAAGCGCAACTTGAATTACTCATAAACAAGTTGGTCGAGAAGGTAACTTAAGCGGAGGTGGTCGCCGTCTGTGTTGGCGAGTGCTAGTAGTTCGGATTAAAGCAGGCGGTAGGAGATGACTTGAGGCTTGAGGAGTTGGAAACAGTAGATGTGGAGGGGTCGGGTGTGGAGATCTACTAATGGAAGAAGAAGTGAAGCAGAGGAAGAGTTGGAGCTTGTGTGGGTGGAAGAGAGTCGAGAGCTTCGAGCTCTTGTTCCTTTTGACGACGCGAATCAGGCGACGTGAAGCGGGTTTACGCGTGCGAGGGATGGGCTTGCTGCTGTTCTGCGATGATGTAGAGGTATGGGTCGCCGTTTCTACAGGATTTGGCAGGTGATGTGGAATTTTTTATACAATTTTGATTTTTTTTTGTTTGCTTTTGAGGTCAACAGTAATATAATAAGTAATTTGATAATTAACACCTAATTTGATAATTTATAATAATTAAATTAGCTTCTAATTATATTATTTATCATTATAACTTATTAAATATAATTAAAATTAAAGTTAATAAGTAACTCATATTTAACATGCAAATTACATTCAACATACATTAAATTTAATTTATAAATAAACTAACCGTCTTAAATCTTGTATTACGTTGCCAAACAGTTTCTCATGATTTATCAGGATTTAACATATTTCACACCAAACAATTTTAGGATTTATTAAATCTGGATTTACATGTTTACTAAATTCCACTAAAGTTAAATCCTACTTGTTGCCAAACATCTTCTAATGGGAGTTGATTGTGTATTAGATAATGACGAGATTGAATCTTCTGATGATGATGCATCGTATAATCTTTTTGATGGTTTAGACTTCTGATGTCTTTGAGATACGAAATCGAATGTCTCATAAGGCACCCTAAAAAATTTCTAGTGTTCAAGTGTCGCATTGAACGAACAGCGATGTACAATTGTACATGCTTAATAGATGGCTTGGGGACATCTCAACACTGTGGATGCTCCTGCAGAAGATGGCATCCGGGCTTGAGGTTTGAAGGGTCCATCAACTTTCTCTAGCCATAGGTTGACCATCTGGAATATTTCTGTTCATACTGTAAGTAAAGCTGGATTCATTTTGCATTCAGAAACGAAAATTGATAGCTTTCCTTTAATTTATTTGGATTAACTGGTTTGGGATTTTCTGTTATCAAACATCTGCCAATGCGGTTGGCTAGCTTCAACCAATTAATCATTTCTCTTTGCCTTGCAAATCTCATATTCTTTCATATAGATTATCTTTCCTCGATTAAGTTCGCCTAACGTTACAAGATCTTCTGCGCCTGCGCTCTCTATCACTGACTTGTTCTCCAATGCGATATCTTATTTCATATTTTCTCTATAACAGGCATTTTTCCAAGACAAATGAGATGCTAAAGAGATTAGGCCTCTCTCCAATAGATTGGCAACTATAGAATCAATGATGAGAAGCTACAGGTTTTTTTATGAAATAGAGTTTTTGACCATATGCTGCTACTCTCTTCCAAGCATTTCTGTTTTTTTTTTGCTCTTAAATATGAGAGTGCTACTATTTATATGGCCAAATTTTGGACTAACGAATCTAACTCCGACAACTTAAATGAACTCAACTGCAGCAAGGATAGTTTTGTAATCTTCAGGAACTTGTCACAGTCCTCGTACTTAAAATTTTGTTACTTTATTTTGTTCGAAGTAGTGCAAAAATTGAAGGTATGTTTACGTAGTGGCAATATTCTTATTATACGTAGCTCTTACTGGGATTTTTGTTATTACGCTACTCCAGACTAGTTTAAACAGGAAGTCCTGCAATTTCCTTCTATATGTATATTTGGTTTATTAGCAGATCAATGAGTTATTGATATGTGCTTCTGACACTAATTTGGCTAAAATAACTTGAGATGGATTTTGGTTTCGTTTGGTATGGTTCATAAATTTTATTTTTGATGTCAATTTTTATTCTTTAAAAAAAAAAAAAAAGGAAAAGACGTCCAGTCATAATTTCTTTGTGAGTTTTTTTTATATGTTAAAAATAGGTAGAAAGCATAAATCAAAGCCGTATTCCTTAAACACACCAAGCTGAGGAAATTGTTTCTTAACAACTTCCAATATTGCTCATAGATTATCATCTAATGCCTATCATTCACCAATGTTTGAGGTCCGTCCGTCTTATTCTTTTGGCCTCTCCTATGAAAAGAATGACTAAGTTGAACATACATTGTCTAAAAATGATTAGAAAATGATATTTATTGGTGATAATTAATTTTCAATGTCTAATATTCATCTTTTTTGTCACTAAGGTTTCGTTAGAGATGGTTTTTTTACTTTCTTAAAATAGCTTTTTAATATAATAAATAAAACTATAAGATACAATAAATAAAACTTTTATTTTAAAAAATTATTTTAAGCAGTAAAAAAGTCTATCACAAATGAAGTCTAAATCTCCATCTTATCAAGATCAGCCAAAGTTGACCATCATAATTGCTTGACTTCTATATATTGTTACCTAACTTCTATCAATAAATAATATTGTATTTGATGACCTCCTTCTGGTTGCTTGATCTTCTTTCATTTCTAAGGATGTTTGGCAACCATCTACCATTGATATATGTCTAGATGGTCATTCCGTGTGGGCTTGGAGAGAGCCTTAATGAGGGAAAAGAAAGTGCTACATCAAGAGAGGAATATTTATTTTGATGTTTAGGATCCTTATCAAAGCTTACTCTTATGAATAATTACATCTCATGAGTTACCAAAAATTTTTTTTTTTTGCTTTGAAGTTATGTTTAGAATTGATTGAAAATAGATACAACTTCATTAAAGAATGTTCAAAGGCTGAAAGAAGAAATGTTAGGAGCATTCAAACTTACTGAAAATGCTCCAAATATTACCTGTGTGAGGAAAATTAATGTCTTTGAAAGAACTTTTATGTTTGAAGTTAATTAAACTTTAAAAAATAGGGCATTTGTTTCTACAATAATGAGTTTTTTTGGAGACATTTAAACCAATTAAGACAAACATACATATCAGATTCAAACCAAAAACTTCTTAATGGGTAGACCAAAGAGAGCTGCTTTACAATAATAATCAAATTTTATCAAGTAGAGTTCTTGAGGAGAGGGCTTATTATTCTCAATTAAGAAAACTTGGCTCTGGCCTAATTCTATTATAGGGATTTTAGGGTACCTCTGTCAGACTTCTCTTTCCTAAATTTAATGCAATAGTAGGATTCTTTTTTTTTGGGACATTTAGGCCATTTAAGGCAAACTCACACACACAACGCAGACACATGGACTCGAACCTTGGACCTCTTCGTTGGAAGCCTAAGCTCTCAACCAACAGGCCAAGGAGAGTTGTGTTCAATAGTAGGATTCCAAATGAGCATCCATATATACCTTAATATCCAAGGGTCAGTATGCTCAACTTTTTGGTTTTAATTCCAACCTCATAAAAAAAAACTAACCTTTTAATTCATTTTGAAAATCATGGTATTAAATTTCTAAATGATATGCAAGATAAATTAGTTGTTGTAATACAAAAAATAAGGCTTCTAATCTCAGTACTAATAGTGAAGTTGCTTGGCTTATCAACATGAGGATTGGACTCTCTTAGGATCACCACAAATCATTTGGCTCAATTAGTCAGATGAATCAAAGATCGCTAAAAAATCCATCAGCTTGGTGTGTGTAGTTGGTGCTTTTGGAGACGAATCCGGATGTGTTACGTCACCGAATGCACTGGGCCCCGGTGACGTGACATGCCCGGATTCGCCTCGAAACACGTTCGGATTCCGCACACAATAATTTCTCAACCTAGCATGAGAGAATCTCACATAATCGAGTACAAGTATGCAACTGATTGAGTGCACATGAAACAAGAAGGCAACTTCTCATGGACAAGCAGCAGAATTTGAAAGCAAACTTGAATGCCTGAGATTCTTCTTCTTTAAGAAGATGATAGAATAACTGTGAATGAATCAAAAAAGGGGCTGTTTGGTAGCAGGATTTAGGCTGGATTTGAGCGAAATCCAGCCAAACAACGGCCTAAAATGCAAAACCAAATCTCCCTGCAAATGAAAAGCCACCGAGACAGAAAATTCTGTTTTTTTCTGCTAAATCCCAGATTTCTGAAACCCTATTTTCTGCCAGATTTATCAAATTCATTGACTCGAGAGAAAGAGTTAGCTGATTAAATCAAATACTAGGTGCTTCCACCCAGCCCAAAGTATTCCGAGAAAGCACGATTGAACGGAGAACAGATCGACGATTAATGTTTCAGATCGCTTACCGTAAAAGCCCAGATTTTCATTAATATTAGTTCAAGCAAGATATAGCTGGCGCAAGAGAATTACCCGTTACACTGACATAAAAAAAGGCAGATAATTCCTAATTACACCTTCCCGGCGCAACCCTGAAGCACTGAAGGGCTGCCTCTCTCGTTTCCAAAGCCGCGCGGAAAAGGGTGTTAACGGCGTTAGCCAATCGATCCAAACCTTCCGTCAACTCTTCTATTGCCTCCTCCGCTCCCCGAACGGCGTCCCGTACCTCTTCTGTTACTTCCCCACTGCCGTCGTCCTTGTCCACGGCTACTGCCAGTTTCTTCACACTAGTCTTCGCCGCCTCGACCTCGCCAGCGATCTCCCCACAACAAAGCTTGGCCGAGACCTTCGCGGCAATCTCGTTATACGCTGCCGCCCATGCAAAATCGCTAGACACACGAATTCCTGAAAGAAAATCACCTTTCTCCCCCAAAAAGGCAAGGGTGGATCTCGCCACCAGATCGGAGACCGCCTCGACGGCGTAAATAGCGCGGCGAACGGCAGTGAGCCTTCCGCGATTCGGATCCTTGGGTCGAAGTCGAGAGAGGTCGTTGGAGTCGCACGGCGGTGCCGGTGCGGCGTCTGCAGCCTCCCACTCCGCGATCGCAGAGCGAACGCGGCAGCGTCGATCGGGGGAGAGCGACGACGAAGAGGAGATAAGGTGTAGGGCGAGGCGGACGAGAAGGCGGCCGTGAAGGATGTGATCAACTGCGGCAGAGATCGCGTTGCAGGCGTCGAGGAGGGCGACGCTGGAGTCGAGGTGAGAAGAGAGGGCGGCGCGATCAGTAACGGAGAGGGAGGGATCTGAGATGATCGCGGTCGCGTCAGCTAGAGTTTGGGTTAGCAGATCTATGGCGCGGGAGAGCCACGTTAGAGGGATTGATGGCGAGGAGTCGGGGATCGGGAGGAGGGAACTCAGCCGAATGATTAGGGTTTCTTCAAATGGCTTTGAGACGCCGCCGGCGGGCGTCTTTTTAGCGTTGAAGGAGAAGAAGAGGGAAAAAGGGGACGAATGCTTCTCCGTCAGAAACATCGGGCCGAAACGACACGGAAAACCCGATCTCTCCTGTGCGGGAAGAAGTTGGGGATTTCGCCGCTGCGAAGCCGGAAATAAATAATTGAAGGGCGGAGCATATGGGAAGGGGGTAAGAAGAAAGCGCGAAACTGGGATGTAACGGCCGGCGGAATACGGGAACCGTGCCGGCCCCGCGTGACCTTATTTCCTACAATACCCTTGCTTCCGCGCTTAATTACGACTTTCTGTAGCAGACAAAATTGAAATCAATATTAATAATTAGGAGTAATATTTTATTTTTTCAATAAATTAATATTTAAAATTGAGAAGAATTGTTTTTAAAAGAAAATTAGTATTATTATATTTTCGTATTATTTATTTAATTATATAAATATCAATACAAGAATAAAAATATTATTTTAAATACATATCTATAAGAAATGGTATAATTCATAAACAATATTTATTAAATTAAATGTTTTTTCATATTTATTTTAAAACCGGCAAAGCATTTTTTTTAATAAAAGGCACTTTATTTTTTTATTTAATAAAATAATTTGATTAGATAATATTTTAATGATGTAATGAACTGTTTCCTTTAGTGGCACCTGCGTAAATTAGTAGGAGATTTGGATTAATTTGATTAAAAAGAAGGGGATGGAGTAAATGGGGAGGACACGCCATTTGGTTGACATCAGAGTCATATTTTGTTATTGTTTTGTTCATTTTAATTGTGTGGACTGACGGGGTCCTATGTGGAAGATAGCCGGTCGCGTACGCAATTCTTCATAGAATATTGAAGGAATTATTAGCATGGACGGCCTTGATCTTTTAGATGGTCCGATCGCAGAAATTAGAGTATTCATGACAAGTCCTTGGCTGCTTCTTTTTTTATTTTTTATTTAGATCAATTAAAATGAATTTATAGACATATTATATATATAAGATTCAATTCAAAATTTTTTGATTGATAGTCGAAACTCTCAACTAATAAATCATGATAAGTGCATATGTTTGAGTCAAATTATGATCTAAATCTAATAAAAAAATATCATTTATAATATTTTCTAACCAAGTTTTTTTATTGACTATCTTTATTTTTCCTAACATAAGTCATATTTAACACAACTATTTTTCTAATTGGGTCATCGGAAGGCCGCTGTTTTATATCACCGAACCATTTAAGGCGACTCTCTAATCTTATCTTTCACTTGAGCTACTCTAACATTTTCACGAATATGTCATTTCGTATTCTGTTTCTAAGAGTAAAACCACTCATATGACGGCATCTTATGAGAAATCAAAATTTTTAGGTTCCTTAAAACTTGCGTTGTGCATTTCTATAAAAAAAAAAGAAGCAAAAAATACATCAATGGGCCGGGTGGAATGCATGCTGGATAAATTGCTGGGATATGTTGATCATTTGATGAAGAATAAATGGTTAAACCTACTGAGGAGACGAAACACTTTTTTTTGTATGTTCATATTCATCTAAATTAGATTAAGGTTTCGTTTGGGACGGCTTTTTTATTGCTTCTTGAAACAGCTTTCTAGTACAAAAATTTTAATTTTTATACTAAAAAGCTGCTTCAAGAAGTAATAAAAAAGTCATCCCAAACGAAGCCTAAATCTGTTATATGATAGCCTAAATTGGGTTCACTAAATTGCCTAAAATTATGAGCATATTCAGGAATGAACGGTGATAACCTAAATTGGCTTATCCCACTGAGTTATTTTTTATTTAAATATTATTTTTATGATACTGAAAGCTCAACCCATCCTCCGCACAGAGCTCACTGAATGCAAAATCCTCCACCTGTTCTGCTGGATTTTATCGTAATTTAGAGCATAATGACAACATTCTTTTATAGAACATCTAAAATTTGTTTTCATGTCCAAAATATTTCAAAGAAAATCTAAAGATTAGTTTTCACATCAAATGAGGATATTTCATTAATTGTTTTGGATAATGTTTAATTTTAATTTTTTAAATTGTTGGCTACCAATTTAAGTTTTATTTTAACTTTTTTTTTTTTAAATATGGTTGCCGCATAACTCATTCATATTTGATTTTTAAAGATAGTGGCTAACCAAAATGAAGATATTAGGTTTTGTTTGGGACGGCTTTTTTATTGTTTCTTAAAGCACCTTTTCAGTACAAAATTTTAATTTTTGTACTAAAAAGCTGCTTTTAGAAACATTAAGAAAATCATCCCAATGAAGCCTAAGAGACAGCTTTCTTGCTGTTTTCTAAAATAGTTTTTTAGCTAGATATTTTTATATATAAAAAAAAAGTTTTAGAAAGCGACAAAAAAGATATTCCAAATGAGGCGTTAGTTTATTCTGCCAGAAAACTACTTCCTTACTTTCAAGCCCATTCAATTGGGGTTTACTCAAATCTACCACTGAAAAGTATTCTGCAGAAGCCAGAAGCATCGGGTAGGCTCTTTAAGTGGTTGTAGAGCTGGGAGAATTTGACATCCACTACTTGCCTAGGTCCGATATTAAATCTCAAGCACTTGCAGACTTTGTAGTTGAGTGCACCGTCCCAGTATCCGATGTTCAACCAAGTACTTTGCCTTCTCCTCCATGTTGGACGTTGTATGTCGTTGGAGTTTCTGGAAGTTCTGGAGTTGGGGTCGGAATTCGGTTAATTTCTCCGCATAAAGTTACTCTTGAGTATGGGCTCCGACTCAAGTTTCCGGCAACAAACAACCACTACAGGAACAAACAACCACTACAGGAAAACACGCTATTACTGGTGGACCATATCCGATAACACGTAAAATCCGACGGAAGTTCTAGATTTTCGACGCATTTCCGTCGGATTTTTGTGCGCCGGTTTGGTGCGCGTCGATAAATGTCTTCCGACGTTTATAAGACGCTGGAAAACTTTCCAGCACAGTCTCCGGCGCAAAATATGTTAGTCAAAGCGTCGATTCTTAACTGATACTTTCGGTGACATATGTGCCGGTAGTTTATGACGTACAAATCTGATCGAAAATACCGGCGGATAAAACGCTGTAAGTTCTCCGTAACTAAGCTACGGCTTTTTACCGGCGTCGAAAAACGCCAGGGGATAAGACGTCGTAACGTGCGTCGGTATTTTTCAGCGGACAAAAGAACGCCGGCATGATTGCACCGATTTGTTGTATCGTCGTTTCCGTCGTATTTCCGACGACAAATTAGCCGGAAACCTGTAGCAATGACAAAAAAATTGCCTTCCTAGCCAATAATCAGATTTCCACACCTGCAAATATATACAAATATATTTCCACAACAGTTCTACAATAGTTCCACAGCATAAAGAACTTCAACAAATGCACAAAAACATAAATATCCATTAAAAGAAATTGTTCAATATGATCAACCAACTAAAAACATCACATATTGTTCAATATTACAGATTCAAAGAAATAAACAAGTTCATATGACTAAAGTAAACTACTCTGAATCCGTGGACTCCTCAGCCGGAGCTACCTCTTTTCCACTCATATGCTCCCTCATTTTGCGCATTTCATCCAACAATTGATTGTGTTGCTCCTGCATCTGCATTTGAACCTGTGCTTGCAATTGAGCTTGCTAATTAGCTTGTGATTTCCTTACTTGTTCTACCTCTGCTTGAAGTGCAGTTATTTGTTGAGCATGTAAGGACTCATGTGAACTGGATGCGAAGATGGATGCAATAGAGGAGGTCATCCCCTCGTATGCCTGAGCTTGCGAACCTAAACCATAAACTCTGCCATGTTGCATTCCTCCAACGGCCTGCGACCAGATGCGGTACTCAGAAAACTCCACAGAGCCGCCAGAAGAGCCCTCACCTGCTGCGACATGAGTCTCTCAAAGCCGTGTATATTCCTCATGTGAAAGTAGAGTATAAATATATATAATTAAACTAAAAATATCGAGTGGACCCAAGCTTCTCAAAATTCTTTCTAATTTTAACATTGTGCTGTCGCAGCCAACAAAAATCTTTCTGTATTAAAAAATATACAATATAGAATATATATGTTTATTAGCTTAAGTAAAAAAGAATAAATCATTTAATTAGATATAACATAAAAACTAATATCCAAAAATATCTCAAACTCTCTAAACCACATTTCTCGGACTTCTTTCGGGACTTTCTTTCAAGAAACATAAGGAGCATCAAACATGCTCCGTATGATGTCCCATATTTTATGTGTTGGTTGTTTTAATGGGTAGAACCTACAAAAATAAGGTTATGTGAAATAAATATATAATATAAAATAAAAATATTCGTTAGCTTAAATAAAAGAGAATGTACGTATGTGTCACCCTCAGGTGCTATCAACATTCTACCATCTGTCTCCTACTCTGGTGCAACTGGTGTCGAAGGTTCAGCTGCTGTCGAAGGTCCAGCTGTAGTAGGCTGATGGGGTGGTGGGGGATAGTATGGCGGAGCATATGGTGTATATGAATAAGTAGGAGGGGTACCAACATAAGGTGGGGGTGCGTAGTATGGGTAGAAAGGAGTACTCTGCGCGGGATCTGGTGAAGAAAATCAGGGGTCTGCTGAGTAGAACTGTGGGCTACTGGCTCTAGGAGTGGGTAAAGGCTGTGTAGCAGGCTGTGGCTATAGCAGGCTGAGGCTGTGTAGCAGGCTGAGACTGTATAGTAGGCTGAGACGAGGTGGTCCCCTCAATACGTAATGTCCTAGCTGGTCAAGATGCAGTGATGTTCTTGGTGCGCCTAATAAAAACTTTTTTTGATCAATAACGCCGTATTTACAGACGCAAAATATTCCGCCGAAAAGTCCGACGGTATTCGCGTGTTTTCCCGTAGTGAACACAGCATAGTACGAGCAATAGAGCTGGATTAATACTAGCAATTAATTGTGAGGTGATGAATCTAATAGTCCACACTGATTCACAACTAGTCACCTCTCAGGTGGAGGGGGAGTTTGATGTCCACAATCCGCAACTGACCCAGTATTGCAGCATTGCAAAGTTACTCTTGGCCGTATAAGAAAGCATCAGATCATACATATTCTCCGAGAGCTAAATGCAAGAGCATATGCTCTTTCAAAACTTACTACATCAACAACGGGAGATATTTATAAAAGAAAGTGTATCGAGGAGATCTACTTTCCAAGTATTCAAGTTCCGTGGGTCATACAATCAATCAATGAAGCAAGAGAGGTGTCTTGAATCGATCCCATCTGATCTTTTTTACAGGATGATATACTACCTGAAGAACCCATAGCTGCAACAAGACTTCAAAGACAAACGACAAATTTCACCATTATTGGTGATGAGTTGTATAAGCGCGCCTTCACCGGACCATATCTCAAGTGCCTCCCACCTCCAGAAGCTGATTATGCACTTCGAGAACTTCATTCAGGAGTGTGTGGAGAACATCTGGGAGGAAGAGCATTGGCTTAGAAGATCATGAGACAAGGATTCTATTGGCCTACAATAAAACATGACGCACTTGAGTTTACTCAAAAGTGTGAAAACTGTCAATTACATTCCAATCTCACTCATAAACCCACTATGGAGCTTGCATCAATACATAGTCCTTGGCCTTTCGCTCAGTGGGGAATTGATATAATGGGACCCTTCCTTATAGTCACTGGACAACAAAAATTCATCATCCTGGCTATAGATTACTTCACCAAATGGGTGGAGGCATAACCTTTGGCGAAGATTACTGAAGCAAATGCCAAACAATTCTTATGGAAGAATATAGTCTGTCGCTTTGGCATTCCTGCGAGAGTCATCACTAATAACGGGACACGTTTTACTGGGAAGATCTTTACATCTTTTTGTAAGGATTTTCATATTCAGCTCATTCACACAACTGTAGCCCATCCTCAAGCAAACTCGTCCGGATGTCCTGAGCCCCGATATTTTTGAGTGATGTGGCGCATTTTTATTGGTGTCTGGATTCGTCCGGACATCGGACACAATAATTTGCCCATTTTTGCAGAGCTTGCGGATTGGTCTGTACTCTGTTTTAAAGAGATCACAATGAAGGTAGAGATGCTAATTAATAATTATGTAAAAACTTGTTGGAATTTAATTAATAAAATTTGAATACAAATTGTGTCAGGTTAGCTTGATAAAAGCTGCATAAAGATCAATTTTAAAATCATTAAATTTATTTTGAAATTAATATCGTAAAAATTCTTCATATGTTATATTAATTTTAAAACAAATTAAATAGTTATCATATTCTTCTTCATATAATTTGTATAATATGTTATCATATAATTTTTTATGAATACAAGGTGTCATGATAGTTTTAAGTTTGAATTAAAATATAATTAAAAACTATATATATAGTTTATTTACCTAATATTTAGTATAAGATTATGTATATCATTATTTTACAACTAAATTCAAATTAAAAATTATGATGATATTCTTTCCATTAATACTTGTGAACTATTTTATTTAATTTCATACTTGAATTCACATCAAATTGATTAGTCCCTATAACATATTTACATATATATCATCCTACACTATTCTATTTACATATTTAACAAATAAAACTTTAATATTACATACATACCACCCATAATTCATTTTCTTATCAAATATGAGTGATAAAAATAAAATATATGAGTGGTATATTTACTATTAAAATCATATAAAATGACATGTTTATATTATTAAAATTTTGGATATTAGATATATAAATAAAATAATATAAAATGATACGTATGT